GGGGAAGAATTCGATGGTGATGCAGAGAAGCGACTTTGGCTAGTGCTCTCAAAGACCTGATAACTGCATTTGTACTGCTTCTGAAAGGTGGTTGATGTTATGTTGCTTCACTGTATAACATTTATTTATCTTCCTAACCATTTAGATATTATTTCAAACATTTTGTGAGAACTTGTTTCTTGCTTTGCAGTTGTATTCCCCTTTGGAATTTTGAATATGTCTACAACTATCTGATGTACACAAATGTCAGCTTTATTGACTGGTAACATATATCTTCTTTCATGATGGATTGAATATACGGTATTCTGTGTGGTTTGGCACTTTTTCCCCTCATTTTGTCCAACAGATAAATCATTTGCATTGCTAGTCAGTTTTGTTTTCCCTCCCTGCTTCCAGAGACCTAGGAATGATTTGAGATTCTCCGTATCATGATGTTTGATTATCCTAACCTTGTTTCTGGCGATTGATGCATGCCTCTTTTCGTCCCCAGCTTCGAGGATCCTGGTCCACATGGAACTGGCAGGCATATGGAACACATGTTACCTGAAATCCAGAGGAAAGATTTCAGAAAGGGTGCTCAGGTATATTTTCTTCTCCTTAATATAGGAAAAGGAAAAGCTTAACCTGTTTATATAATCACAACTGAGAAGAAAGTTGGTGGCACTAATCAAATGGCTACTTCTTTCACCATTAGTTTTTCAACACTGGTAACTATAAAATCTAAATTGTGCCGTACCTTGTAGATTTTCAGTTGGCTGTTTGAAAAAATTACCAGCAGAACATTTGAAAGCATTTATGGTTGGTCTACATTAACAGAGTAGTAGCTTGACACTGAGAAATATGCAGTTCTGGTGTCTGATGTCTGGTTTGTGCTTCTTTTCTTCTTGAAAAGCTTATCTTTATATTTTCTTTGGGCAGTGGTTCACGATGAAGCGGCAGCATGCTGTGATCGTTATGGCTGACAGTCTTTACTACTCAAAATTCCGGGATTACTGTAGGGTGTGTGCATATCTATAGTTTGAAGTATGATTTGGTTTATCTTATTTAAAAAAAGAAATGATTTGGTTTATCTTGTCAACTCGTCTAATTGAATTAGAAATGCTCATTGTTCATTGAATCCTCAAGAATTTGTAGCATTATGTTAAAGAGCTTTTCTTAAAAAAGACATGTTGGGTAGGTTTGGGTTATGTGAGTTGGTTTGTTTTCTTTATTTTTCCATGTCTTTCCCATGTCAGTCATCATGGATGTATGTTAATATTATGGCTTCTTTTTCTGAGATTATAAGTTTTCAATTAGCAAGCTTCAATTCATGATTTGGTTTATCTTGTCGACTCGTCTAATTGGACTAGAAATGCTCATTGTTTGTTGAATTCTCAAGACTTCGTAGCATTGTGTTAAGGAGCTTTTTTTAAAAGGGTATGTTGGGAAGGTTTGGGTCATGTGAGTTTGTTTGTTTTGTTTATTTTTCCATGTTTTTCCCATGTCAATCCTCATGGACATATGTTAATATTATGGCTTCTTTTTCTGAGCTTAGAAATTTTTTAATTAGCAAGCTTCAATGTTCATGATTTGATGGCAAATTACGAAGTACATTCTAATCCAGGAAGTTATTGTCCACTTTCCCTTGATATTCTTATGAAACCATTGAAGTTACTTTGAAATTTTGTTATGTAAGGATTTATCTTTGATATATAATGTTTGAAAGGTTTTTATCATTATAGCTTGTTTTTCTCTCACTTGCAACCTTGATAGAAAGTTCAAGAGGTTCTTCTTCTTACATGCAACGTATATTCTATCTCACTAACCATTTATTGATGAGGGTGTTCATGAATTACAGCCTGGTGTTGAGGGTAATAAAAACTGCATTGCTGATGAGCATTACTTACCGACCTTTTTCAATGTGAGAATCATCCTCACTATCCCATCTTTAACTTTTTGATATTTTTGGCCTAAAACTAATAAGCTTCTACATGGTTTCAGATGCTTGATCCTAGCGGTATTTCAAATTGGTCAGTAACACAGGTGGATTGGTCTGAAAGAAAGTGGCATCCAAAGTTATATAGGGCCCAGGATATTACGTACGATCTTCTGAAGAATCTTACGGTATACTGATGCTTTAATTTTGTTTTTACTTGAAAGCTATTTAGATTAGCTGTTTTTCTTTTAAGCTTAAAAGTTCTTAAAACATAAATTTTATCAATTGTGAGTTAATAGTTTGGCAAAAAGTTTATTTATCTTATTTCTCAGCCTATATGCTTATTTCTAGAGCTTATAAACTAAAAAATAAGCTGATAAGAGTACCTTATGAAGTAAAACACTTCCTAAACATCTAACCTGTTTTTGGTTTTTTTTGAATTAATTTTCTTTCAAAACCAGCTTGTAGGACCCAAATAGAAAGAAAGGTCAATCTGAATGCCGTCATGTGTTCTCTTGTTATTGTGATTAATACTGCTGAAATATTGTTTTGAACTAAAGAATTGAAATAAAGGAAAGAGAAAAGAAGTGGAGAAGGAAGTAAATAGGAGGTAAGAGGTGTGAGGTATGCTAAGAAATTTCAGTCGTCACCTCTTTTTTAAGCCCTCAAAAGAGTGTTCTACTTTTTTGACTTTTGTCCATAAAAATTGTCATTGTGACTTTTCACCCCTGGAAATTTTTAGATAGGCATATTTTCCAAGCATCATATACTTTGGTAATAATAACTAATATGTTGATGCTCTTTTATGAATGCAGACGACAGAAATAAGTGTACATGTAACTAGTGTGGGCAGGGTAAGATACCAAATGATTTTTCTTGTGATTGCATTAGAAGGTCAGCTGACATCCGCTGATCCTCTTTCATTTTTCTGTTATTCTTTGGTTCTTCAGGGGGAAGAGCTATATTGGCCATGTGTATGGAATGGTATTAGACGGCCATGCTACTTATTTGCGAGGAAATTTCATCCTGAAGCTCTAGATAAGTTGCTGGACATGTTCTCAAACTATACAACAATTTGAGGGAGATATACATCACACTCAATTCTTTGATTACTCCCCCCAATATTTGTCGCCTGTCAACGGTTCTGACATATAAGCTTTCAAAAGTTGTAAATTGGCGAATTGTTAAAGGCACGAAATGTTCCTGGACAACAATTCTTGATGAAAGGGCAACTAGGAGGAGGGGAAGGACATGAGAGGAGAGACTTGAAGGGTAAGCAAGCTTTGTGTTGCTTCCTTCGGTTATGTTTTTTTTTTTTGGTTATAGGAGGCTGGGGTTTATATTTGATGGTCATTTGAGCTGTGGCTGTTATATATTTCTGGACCAGAATTTTTGGGGGCTTAATTTTTTTTAGTGATTTTAATTGTTAGTCATTGTAAAAGTGAAAAATTTGAAATTGAACTTTTTTTCTTCAATTTCTGCCAGAATTTCAGGCTTTAGAAATTTGAAGTCTGTGATGGGAAAAACACTGACGGATGAATTCTGTATATTATCACTGTTCTTGTTATTTTTCCTCTATGCTTAAAATTCCCTAAAAATTTACCTTTTAGGTTATAAAAAAATGTTTTTGAGTTTTAGAAACTTTTATTAGAATATCTTATCTTGGAGAATTGAGTATTTTAACTCGGAGAGAAATTGCTGGTTTTAACCTTGTGAATATGTTTCAGGCAAAAGAATTTATGTGCCAAGGTATATTTATTTCTTAAGTTTTTAGATAGACCCAACTTTTTTTAGAAACCTATAGAAATCTTGGCTGTGACAGAAGGTTGCACATTTTTTTTTTGGTTTTAGTAAAGAGAGAATTGGTATATATAAATACATGTAGTACATTTTTTTAATATATAAATATTTTTTATGAAGAAGGATTGGTAATTCTCATTCTTCTCATGAAAGGGTAAAAAAAAAATACCTCTTTAAATAACAAACAGATCATTCACCAGTAAATCATCAGCTTCTTCTCTGTTTTACTTCAATAACACAGACCACCATTTTCCCCATGGCCAACTACACTTCACTTTTCCTCTTCCTCCACACTCTTCTCTTCACTTTGCCATTGACCCTACCTGCCATTATAGCAGCTTCAGCTAATAGCCCTCGTGCAATTTCACCATCTCTGCGACGATTAGTTACAAAACTCATTAACCGCGACTCCATTTCCTCTCCTTACTATGACGCTGCCAAAGCCACCGTCTCCGGCCATGCTTCACGTTCCTTGAAACACTCTATGGCGCGTTTGGCCTACTTGCAATCCAAGGCCATGTCGAACAATAATGTTTCACCAACCATTGACATCGGAGTTGTCGCAGCGGAGAGCACCGTGCAGTTCTTGGCCAACTTCTCCATCGGCGAACCGCCGGTGTCGCAGTTGGTAACCATGGATACCGGCAGCAATCTGTTGTGGGTTCAGTGTCTTCCTTGCGTCAGGTGCTTTGAACAATCGAGCCCGGTTTTTGATCCGTCGAAATCTTCAACATACCGAAACTTGGACTGTAACTCTGGTTTTTGTTCGGGAGGAAACTGCGATTTATCAAAAAACTGTAAATTTTCTCTTGGGTATGTGGACGGAACCCATGTCGCCGGCCTAATGGCGACTGAGAAGCTGACTTTTAGTACCTCCGATGAAGGTTTAACGTCTGTGACCGACGTGATTATCGGCTGTGGACATAACAACAACGACTTCGATAGGCAACAGAGCGGGATTCTGGGTCTGGGTCCTAATCCAATCTCTTTGGTGAACAAGCTGGATTCAAAATTCTCTTACTGCTTGGGGAGAATCAGAGATCCTAATTACATGGATAACCAGTTGATATTCGGTGATGCAGCAGACATGGAAGGTTTTTCAACTTCCTTAGAAGTTTTCAACTCGCTTTACTATCTCAACATGGAGAAGATCATTGTTGGCGAGAAGGCGCTCGATATCAACCCAGAGACGTTCAAAAGAACGAATTCCGGCGCCGGAGGGACCGTCATTGACAGCGGTACGACGATCACGTTCCTGAGTAATGCCGCCTTCGATGCTCTCGCCGGTGAAGTGAAGAGCCTACTGGAAGGAGTTCTGGAACGTGTGAACAACCCGGATCAGCCGTCGCAGTTGTGCTACAGGGGGAGAGTTGATCGGGACTTGGAGGGATTTCCGGTGGTGACGTTTGGGTTCGCCGGAGGTGCGGAGCTGGGATTAGATGCAGAGAGCATGTTTCAGGAGAATGGTGGTGATGAATTCTGCATGGCGGTGCATGGTAGCAATCTTCATGAGTTGAATGTGATTGGAGTCATGGCTCAACAGAACTACAACATTGGTTATGATCTTTTGGGGAAGAAGATTTTCTTTCAGAGAATTGATTGTCAACTTCTTGATTAATTATTTATGGTTTTTTGTAAATAAAATATTAATTCAAAAACCTGAATATCATAAAATATTTATTATAATGTTGAGTTAAGATAATTTATTAATATTTTAATAAATAATGTAATACAAATATCATATATAAATATTTTTAATTTATATTAATAATTGATTATCATAGTAATGGTAATCTTTAATTTTAGGTTAAATTGTTGTAATATACCTTTTAATTGTTTGATATATCATACAATTAGATTTATTTTTTAATAATTTAATTTTAAACTTATAAAATTATTTTAATATTTCATGATTATTTTATAAAATTGATTTTTTTTTTCTGACAAAAAAGATACAAAATTTTATTTTGTTTTTCATATTTTATATTCTATATAATTTGAAATTTATAACAATTAAAAGAAACATTAATAAACTGAAAAAAGTAAATAATTATTTTTATTTAAACCACATATATGATATTAACAACGTTAGGCAAAATAAAAGAAATCTATAACAACATCAAAATAATATTACGCTGACTTTTTACTCTTTATATATAAACACAAAATTGTAAAGAAGAGAAAAATCTTTCTTAAATTTGTTCGAAGAAAATGTTTGAAATGTGTGGAAGTGTTAATTATTCATATTAATTTGCTGGCAGTCTTTCTGCCTGCAAGAGCCCATTACCATGAGCTCCATGGTTTCCAGCGACGGAAAATGCCCATGTCGAAACTGCAGGAGCTGACTCATCCTCAACTCTTCTGCAAATTCAAACCATTCATGGTTTTCTCTCCTCTTCTAACCCAGAAACTTTCTCGTTCTTTCTATCTTTATTCTTCATATTGTTCCTCTCACAATCTGACCAGAACGCAATCTCTACAAGTTCTGCTCAAAAGAGGCTTCACTCCCAGCTTCAAATCTATAAACCATTTTCTTCGCTTTCTCTCTCAAACACGTAAATTCAATTTAATTGTTCATTTTTTCTCTCAGTTGAGCTCGAATAAAATCCCAGGAAACCTCGAAACTCACTCAATCTTCACTTGGGCTCTTCTCAAGTTGGACAAATTCGAAGAAGCAGAGCATTTCATGACTACCCTGACAGAGAGATCATCAAAAAGATTTTCTCCAACTCGCTTGTGGGATGCTCTAATTAAGGGTTATATAATCAAGCTCGACGATCCCGAGAAGGCTTTCGCCGTGTTGCAGAACTGCGTGAGGAATCATGGTATATTGCCTTCTTCGTTCACTTTCTGTTCATTGATACATTGTTTCAGTTCCAGAGGAAACATGGCTAGAGCTATTGAGGTTGTAGAATTGATGACGGATGATACAGTTAAGTACCCATTTGATAATTTTGTTTGTAGCGCAGTGATTTCTGGATTTTGTAAGATGGGTAAACCGGAACTTGCACTAGGGTTCTTCGAGAATGCTTTAAATTCAGGAACTTTAAAACCTAATGTTGTCACTTATACGTCGCTTGTAAGTGCACTTTGTATGTTGGATAGAGTTAATGAGGTTAGTGGGTTGTTCTGTAAAATGCTGAAGGAAGGATTGGCATTTGATGTCATTTTCTATAGTTGTTGGATTTGTGTGTATTTGAGGGAAGGTGCATTAATGGAGGCATTTCGAGAGTATGGGGAAATGGTGAAATGGGGAATAAATCCGGACACAGTTAGCTATACTATACTCATCGATGGGTTCTCAAAGGAGGGAAATGCTGAAAAAGCAGTAGGTTTGTTGGAGAAAATGATAAAAAACGGAGTGAAACCAAATCTGGTCACTTATACATCACTGATCCAGGGATTTTGCAAGAAAGGGAAGTTGGAGGAGGCATTCTCCATTTTCAAGAACATTCAAGCTTTGGGATTGGAAGTGGACGAATTTATGTATGCGACTTTGATTGATGGGATTTGTAGGAGAGGAGATTTAGACCATGCTTTCTATCTGCTAGGTGATATGGAGAAGAAGGGGATTAAACCCAGCATCATTACATATAATACAGTGATAAATGGATTGTGCAAGGTTGGTAGGACCTCAGAGGCAGATGGGGTATCAAAAGGCGTACTAGGAGATATTGTCACGTATGGCACATTGTTACACGGGTATATTGGAGAAGAAAATGTCAAGGGAGTTCTGGAAACAAAAAAGAGGTTTCAGGTTGCAGGAGTTTGTCTGGATGTTGTTATGTGCAACATACTTCTGAAAGCACTTTTTATGGTGGGTGCATATGAAGATGCTCATTCACTGTACGAGGCAATGCCGGAATTGGATTTGCTAGCAGATTCTGTTACTTATTTTACAATGATCTATGGATATTGTAGTGTGGGTAGAATTGAGGAGGCACTTGAGGTATTTGACGAATTTAGGAAGACCTCAGTTTCTTCAGTTGCAAGCTACAATTGTATTCTTAAAGCACTCTGCAAAAATAGAATGCTGGATATGGCCGTGGAAGTGTTTATTGAACTCTGTGATAAAGGTTTGGCTTTGGATATAGGGGTCTATAAGACACTAATAAATGTTATTTTTGCAGAATTAGGTGCAGAGGGAGTCCTGAATCTGGTATGTAGTTTTCAGAATTTGAGGTCAGATGTTTATGATGTCATATGTAATGGTGCTATCCGTTTCTTGTGCAAGAGAGCCTCTCTAGATGCTGCAAATGCAGTTTTTGTCATGATGAGGAGGACAGGGTCAGTTGTAATGTGCGACTCTTACTACTCAATGTTAAAGGGGGTTCTTACTGCAGGGAAGAAAACACTATTCAGGCCTTTTATGACTATGTTTGTAAAGGAATATGGCCTACTTCTGCCAATGGTTGGCAAGATGCTGTTGTTTTACTTGTGTCTGAAGGATGTGGATAAGGCCTTACAGTATCTCAAGATGGTGGCAGGAAATACCTCAGCTCTTTCTATCCCAGCCACTGTTTTCAAAATGCTTGTAGAGAATGGCAGAGCATCAGATGCTTATGAACTTTTATTACGAGCTGAAAACAATATGCCAGTGATGGATGTGGTTGATTATACAATCATGGTTGATGGCCTGTGCAAGAGTGGATATATTCACAAGGCCTTGGATCTCTGTGCTTTTGCTAGACATGAGGGGATTACTCTTAATATTATCACTTATAATTCTGTCATAAATGGACTGTGCCGCCAAGGGTGTCTTGTTGAAGCATTTCGACTATTTGATTCGTTAGAGAGGATTGATTTGGTTCCCTCTAGAATCACAATAGCAATCCTTATTGATACTTTATGTAAAGAAGGACTATTGTTAGATGCCAAGAAATTGTTTGATAGGATGGTGTCAAAAGGCTTTGAACCCAGTTTACATGTTTACAACTCATTTATTGATGCTTACTGCAAATTTGGTCAAATGGAGGAAGCATTGAAGTTACTATCCAATTTGGAGCTAAAAGGTGTTATGCCTGATGAATTCACCACTAGTGCTATGATTAATGGTTATTGTCAAAAAGGTGACATGGAGGGGGCTCTTAGTTTTTTTGTTCAGTTCAATAGGAAAAGTAGGTCGCCTGATTTCTTGGGTTTTTTATATCTGGTAAGAGGTCTTTGTACCAAAGGAAGGATGGAAGAGGCTAGGAGCATCCTGAGAGAGATGCTTCAGTCAAGTTCAGTTGATGAACTAATAAGTAGAGTTGATACCGAGGTTGAATCAGATTCGATTAAGAGCATTCTTGATGACCTATGCGAGCAAGGAAATGTCCATGAAGCTGTCACTGTCCTTGATGAAATTGGATCCATGTTTTTCCCTAGCCAGAGGAAATTGCAGGCTAATCATGGACCACAAACACCAAATGAATTATATGAACATGAAACTTTGGATACGGATAGTCCAAGGTCAGTAGTGTCCAGTCAAATAACTGATGCGGATTCTAATAACTGCACCTTGAGAAACGGGGATGTAGTGTGGGAAAATCCTCTCAATGTAGGAAAAGATTTCCGCATTCACAATTTTGACTTTTTCTACTCTACAATTAGTTCGCTCTGTTCAAAAGGAGAGCTGCAGCAGGCAAATATAATAGTGAGAAATATGCTATCTAGTGTGAATGGAGATATTTAGCATGTAAAATTATGTGGCTGATGCTACTAAATTGGGAGCTTCCTCTCTGTTGTCCGCGTACAAGCTATTTTTACTTCCTCTGCCTTGAAGTTAAGTGATATATATGTCATTAAGACTTATCCATGATTAGTTTGTTCTGCTTAGAAGAAGAGCTGCAGCCGGAAAATAGATTATTGATCTCTAGCAGTCATGGAGATATTTAACGAATTATTCTAAATCTGGAGCTTCCTCTTCTTGTATCAGAATACTAACCACTTGCTTTCTTCCTCTGCCTTGAAGGTAATATCGATGTTATCAAGACTTATCAATTGATAAGGTAATTGAAGTTTGTTATTCATGTTGCCATTTGGAACGTAGTTTTCTTTCTATTTTATGTTGGCAAAAGTTTCTGGTCAAGCTCATTGGAAAGAATATTCAAATAAATCATTAATTTCCCTTATTTAGTTTACAGTATTGACATAACATGAGGTTAAGTAGGATTATCCATCAAATGATTGTGTACATCATGAACTAAACTATCTTCCAGTAGTTAGTTTGAAGCCCTCTTTTCTTTGAAGATGAGGTGAAAAGTACATAAAATAACTTTTCTTTTTTTTTTTCTTTTAAAAGTTTTTCTGCTACATGGATTTTGTGATTTTTGTCGAGGCAAATGTTGGGGTTGCTTTTACAATTTTTTCAAATTTAACTTTGTTGTTGATGTTTTCATCTTGTGAAACAGGTCATGAAATAATGAAGCAGATGCGGAACTATGTGGCGGCTTGAGCATAAGAAATCGTCAATCACTATGGTATAAGCCACCTCTCCTTATTTAGCTTATAAGCACATCACATTATGTTTCCAGTAAGATGATGCATATTCTTCTAAAGGGTGCTATTACCGTAAAGTCAAGCTTACAGAGTAACTGCATTTTAATGGTCAGATTATGATTTTGGAAGTACTTGTTTCTCAAATATTAATATCTAACAACTAAGTAATTGGCACTTAAATTTAATCATTACAATCTCGAGCTTACTGTGATATTTTTCTTTATAAGATCATAGTGGAAGGTGAGATTGCAGGCTTTGTCCCACATGATCAAGTAGGACAAAAGCAAATTCAAAAACAGAACTAGATGATGTGTGTAAAAGAATTGTGGGTTTTCTTCTTTATAAATTTCTATCTAGTGTTCTGCAGCATTTTGTTTTATTGTCTTTATGCTTGGACTTGTTCCTGCTTTCTGGTTTATACTTTTTTTAGTGGACTTTCTGGTATATACTAATATCTTTCTTTTTAATATTTTAAGACTTTTCCATTTGCTCAAGTTATAGATCTTTGGTATAAGATATGAAAAGCCTCTCAATTATTGGATATTACTTTTTCAGGCTTCCTCTTGAATAAGATGAGCTGGTGGGTGGGTTGCAGATGATTTCTCTGTAACATCTACAAATTCAAGAACATTCAATGAGGTAAACCCCCATTTATTAGAACCTGCATGTTGAATCTCTCTTTTCCATTGCATGATGATTCTGCAATTTGTTAGGATAGAAATTTTGAAGCCTTAGACCTACGGACCAAATAGTATATGATTAGGTCTGTGGCTCACCATACCTATTTATCAACAGATAAGATTTGTTTCTGACTGGGGCCACACTTTTTACTTTTCTGGCGAGTCTAGGTAGTTCTATTGAAATTTGGTTGAAAATGCTCTCTCTTCATGATAGTTGGAAGTCTAGGTAGTTCTATATACAGGTTTCTACTTGTAACTTTTCTATGAAAATAACTACTTAAATTACCATCCATGGTTAGATCCAAACAATTTCAACATAGCATACGGTTTGTTAATTGATCCAATTAACTTACCTAAAACCTTAATTATGGGGGAAAACCTTTAAATTTGAAGGAAAGTCAAGCCACTAAAAAATATAATGTATTTGGATGGATACAGTTATTCTATTTTAGTGAAGTGGAGGATCCACCAAACACCGTACTGCCAGGGCAACAACTTTGGTCAAAAACACACCTTTTAACACTCATGTAAAAGAACATGTCAAAAGTCTGACTCATTAGTTTATAGTCTATTCAGTTTTACTTGGGATGTCAGTGAACTAAATCATATAATACTATAAAAAAGATTACTGAGTTTGAATTGCAAAGTACGAAATTATGTGGCATACAAGTTGTAATTTGAATTGAAAGTTAATATATAATTTTGTGTGTATATGCATATATAATAAGGAGGGAGAGAGTAAGTGGGGTAAAATTTTCTACACCAAACCAAGGAGAGGGACCATCTTTTAGCTATACATGAAAGTTGATAAGTCTCATTATATATATATATATATGTATGCTTCTGTTTTCACCCTTAGCAACCTTTGAATGTTTCAACAGATCAGAAACAGAGCTACACAGGGGAAGAGATCATCATGGGTTGCATCTTCTCCGGTACCAGCAGCTCACCATCATCCACAGCCAATAAGATCCGTGTCGTCCACCTGAATGGCTATGTAGAGGAGTTTGATCACCCAGTCTCAGTTGGCCAATTGATCACTGGCAGCAAGCCTCCAAAAACCTTCATCTGCACCCCATCTCAGCTTCTCTCCAACTGCTCAAAGCCTGAGCTTAAACCCGAAAAGATTCTCGAGCCAGGCCACGTCTACTTTCTTCTCCCTTATTCCACCTTGCAAACTGATGTTTCTCCGGTGGGCTTGGCATCTCTGACGAGAAAGCTGACAAAAAGAGCGAAGTCCTGCAAGTTTAGTGGTAAGTTTAAGTCAGAAAAAGCTAGCCATGGTGGGGGAGAGGTGGAGATGCAGAGGAAAAAAATGATGATGGGTTGCAGAGCAGAGATGGGTCCTAGGCTGGGTCGGTCATGGAGACCTGTTTTGGATACAATTAGAGAGAGGTCTTTTAAACGGAGAAGTGAATCTGATTTGCAAGAAATTTATGCAGAGTAACTGGAATCCATACAACTGTTGAGAATGGTAAAGAAAAACAGCAAACAAAAACAAGAAGCGAGACGTTTGATGTGTGTATATATAGTATGTATGTATATATTATGATCTCACTAATAGTATTGTAGAATTCTGGATTGTTATTATTAATTTATAAATTTTCCCAGAAAATGCAATTGCTTTTGTCACAGCTATGATTGTTGGCAGTTGGCATTGGACTTTCAAGTATCCATTGTTATTAGATTTTTCTCTTTATGGATAGTATCTACTTTTATTGTTTGATTTTATTACCATTCCAACTTTCTTTCTTTTTCTTTCCCTAATTCTTTGTTAAGATATATATATATATCTATATTTTTGGTAATTCTATCTCTTAATCGTTGTTAATTTTTTTTTTCTAAATGTAAATTCACAGTCTTTTTTTTTTTTTTTTAAAAAAAAAATATTTTTAAATAACTAATAATTTCATATAACTGAAATAAAAAATAAAACAGAAATTTAAGTCTCAACTTTTTAAAAATAATTTTACTATCTAATTTGATTCACAAATAATGTTACATGGTGTTTGGTGGGCAATACAGATGATGAAATTAGTAAATAATTATCAAATTGGTGAAACAATTGGAGCAGGAGGCACCCATTTTTGCAGAGGACAACATTCCCAAACACCGTCTTTACTGCAACTCAGACTAAAATGCTTTGGAACCCAAGTCTGCCCTCTCCCTTCTCTTTCTCTCATCATCTCTCTCTGCTTCTCCTCCACCGCCATCTTCGCTTCTCTCGCTTTCTTCCAATCCCCCCTCATTATCCCTTCACTCACTTCTCCCCACACCGCCGCCGACTCACCTCTCCAAACCCCCTTCAAATCTTTAACGGCCGGAGTTTTAAGCCCCGTAAGAGCTTCTTTCGCGTCGAATATCACTGTTATTCCTCCATTATTAACGTCCTTCGCTGTCACAGTTCTGTCCCAGTTACCGTTAATCTCGAACAGGGGATTGTTGGGGGATGAGCGGTGATGGATTTTGCCTTTGACGGATCTGTGGCTTTTTCTAAGTCCTAGAAATGAAGTCGCTCTGAAAGATAAGTCGGCTTCGAGGCCTGTTTCATGACAGCAGATCTTGACGTTTCCGACCCAGTCAACGCCGGGGAAAGGAAGGAATCTGATGAGTAATTTGGGTGAATTCATTTCATAGGTTTCGTTTCGGGTTAGGAGATTGAGTTGCCTTCTTCCGTGAACCTCCGTCTCCACCGAAGTTCCGTAGAACTTGGGAACTGCGTGGTGAGTCCAGATGAGCTCAATGTTTTCTTTCTCGTCTGTTGCATGGAGTGCAGAAACTGGCGGGTGATGTGAAACCTGCAAGAAGAATTCTTGTTATATAAATATACACACCCACATATATGTATACAGACATACATACAAATCTACAGTATGTTTAAGTAACCTGCTCGAGAAGGACATGGAGATTTCCTCGGGAGACATGGTGAGTCTCGCCGAGAACAGGATTGTAAGGAGCGACTCCAAAAGTCAACGGGCGCAAAGTAGAGATGCTCCAGCCGACAACTGCTATAAATCTGTCGATGGGTGTCTCGGCCTTGCTGCATTTGCTCAGCATATCACTACTGATGCTGTACACTGATTCTCCATAGCACTGGAGATGTGATTTTGGGAAGTTGAACAGAGGCGGCAACTGTAAAAATTATTAAATAAACAATTAAAAATAAAAAGAATGTATTAGACATGTGCCATATATTTATATATATATTTATATGTAGCAGCTCCCACCTACTACATGACTATTGGTATGAGATTTCATTATTATAAAATTTAAGGGTAAAAGACAGAGTGGGCAAAAGAGTTGGGGATTGCCTGGAAGGAGGTGAGATCAGAACCAGGGCGGACATTTTTGAAGAGACTGAGGAGACGTTGAAGAAGATTGGGAGCTCCATAATCTGAATCTGATTCTTCATTTAACGACAGCGGTTTGGTAAGAACAACCTTTGTCCTCTCTCTTTCTTTGTCATCTATCACCTGCACCATTTTTAATTTTTATATTCATATATATAATTTAATAATCCACCACAAACAAACAAACAATCATTGTTACATCCACATCTATAATTGTATAATTAACCCTAATACCACACCCACCTAACACAATTAATTAGTGCCCTTAAACTCATCTTAATTTAATTAATTTTTTTTTTCTTTTCTTAGTTTAGTTGCTTTCAATTAATAAAAATAATTTATTAAAAAAATCACTCCATATCTTTGATATTGTCTCACCATCGGTAATTAATTAAAGTTAAATAAAAAAATTAGATTAAGTTTTTAAATTAAAGAAATTTTCTAATTACAAAATGTTCATTTTTTTTTCTTCATAAATTTAATAAAATTTAACTCTGTAGTTCTATTAATATATTAATAAATTAATTTTATTAAATTAAGCATAATATGATGAATTTCACGTTGAAAAATTCATAATTTTTAAATAAAATAAAATACTCTTTAACAACTAGAATATCATGTTATTCACGTCATATACAATACTTAAAAACATAGTACTAATATATATATATATATATATATAAATACACAAGAAATCATATTATACTATATCCCTAACCCAAAATGAGTTCATAGTTGATTTTCAAGTTAGCTATATAACTCAATGATTTATTACATAAGTCAAATTAATTATCTTGGGCTTCAAGTAAAAAATTGAATGGATCTTTCACTACTTAATATTTTAACTTAAAATATGAAAGTTTGTTTGATCCAAACATATATATTAATTAATTACAATCTACACATTATATTAAATTTAATTATTTTTTTAATTTTACAATTATAAATTTTTATATTCACATGTCAGTAAAAAAAAAAAAAACTTAAGTTGACGAAAAAAATTAATAGAATTATATATATTTTTTCAAATTTCTATAATATTTATTTCATGTAATCACATTAAAATATAAACCAAACTTCAGTAAATACAAATTGTATATAAAAAATCATATTAAATTTTGTATACATATATAAAAGAGGTAATATTAAAAAGTATAACGTCGAAGAAAACGCCGTAGCAATACTCCTGTCTTTGAGGAAAATGTCAAGAAAATATTCTGACTACGATAATCAAATTAATCTCCACACACACACACGCATATATATACATACACACACTCAATTTATAACAGTTCTAATGTGTCGTTTTGGTGCTACAGTACTTTCTTTGTTAAGTGATATATATATATATATATATATATATATTCAAATCAAAATTATTATTCAATGTGAAAGCAAAATCGATGTAGTTACCTCAAATCGTGAAAATACATTTTTTTTTAAAGAAAATTTTCTGGAGAAGATACTAAAATAAATTATTTTGAGAGTAGAAAAAAGGAAGGAGATAAACACGAACCGTGATTTGAATTAAGAATCTAAACAGAGACGCTTCTTAGAGAAGAAAATTAAAGAGAGAATCATTATAAAGACGGTAAGTACGGCGGAATATTAGAATGCGCCGTAGAAATATCGTCGGCGATTACGAGAAAACAACTTGACGCATTCAAATACCACCTTAATCTCGCCGGAAAACAGCAACAACAGCACAGGGAAAACCATCAATACAGATCACCGATCGAAAGATGAAAAAACGAGTATATGTTCTCTCACTGTGAATTTCTACATATACACTCCGACACCTCACGTATATGTTATATAAGCAGAAAAAGAGGAACCGAAACAGACCGTAATAGCAGGAGAGAGAAGAGAGAGAAAGGAAACGTACCATTGGAGGAGAAGGAAGGAAACAAGTAGGACGGAGATGACGAAGAGATACTGATCGCAGAGAGAATCAACGGGGAAAAGAGAGGCTTTTGTTTTGCTGCCAGCCAAAAGTCGCTTAAAATATTTATAGAGTCTAAAACGGCGAAGAGAAATAATATAATACGACGGGTTCACCACGCGGCCTGGCGCTCCTGCCAATTAATAATATAAGCAAGCTCACCTTCTCTCAAATACATACAATAGCTTATTTTTTATTCAGTAGTTCAAACTAATTTTTCAACATTTAATATCTTAATTTTTCATATAAGAATATTAATTAGATATTAAATTCTTGGCACTCTTATTAATAAAAAAAAAAATTTATTAAATCATAACATAATTATAAAATAATGAGTTTTAAATATTAAATTATGGTATTTATAAAAATTATTATATCAATTTTTTGAAGGAAGCAAAAAGTACCAATGTTCATGCAAATTGACCCATCAGAAAATAACAAAAACTTTGAAATTCACACTCGTAATAATATGATTACATTTTCATTTTCACATATATCCCACAATCGTAATGCAAATTTTCTAAAATAAAATCAAACACAAAAAATTAAAATCAATGAAATGAAGGCAAATTAATTTTTTTTTTTTAAAGAAAAAAAATCATTAATTTTATCATTTAAATTCAATTTGACTTTTTTAAGCCCGTAAACCAAATATATATATATATATATATAATTATCATTTCATGACAAATTCAATTAATAATAATGTACCAATGCTAGTGTGTGTGTATATATATATATATGATAAAAGAAAATTAAAAAGTCTTGTTTCTAAGACCAAACTTATTCTAAAGGGAATCTCCAGGATAACATTTAGTTTAGCCGCATGGACTTGACTCTCAAAAAGAAAAGAATAAAAAGCTATTTACTTGAATCGTACCGAGTAAGGATTGTTTGGATGGAGGGAAATGAAGGAGAAAATGATAGGAATGAATAATCTGTTTATTCTTTCAATAATATTTTCACCCAAACAGACCTTGGGAAGATACCGCGTTCCATATTTAATTCTTCTACAGGAAGGAAGACGCTGCACCAATAATGGAAGATGGTTTGACTGTGACAATAACCAGTTAGAGATATTTAAGGGCTTGTTTGGGAATCAGGTTTATCTTATCCAAGTTTACTTCTGCCTTACGTTTGGGCTCCGGAGTTTGTCAAGAGGATCTTTATCACTTTCCATGGTTGGGTTTGCCCCAAGATAAAATTGAACCTCATGTCATGTTCCGCTCAAAATAAAGTAGAAATCCTTCTGTCCGATACGTAGAATTAAATATCAAATTGATATTCATGAGAATGTTTGAATTGATTTATACATGAATTTATTAAAAATATATATATTAATTAATCATAATTAAATAACACGAACATGATTAATAGCTTTATTACTTGACAACGATTATATTTTCACCTAAAATCTCTTTATCTTATCTATCTCATATATGGGTGTATGATAAGTCTCAATCAAAACCACAAGAATTGTGAGTGAAGGGTCTCTGCTTTAAGTGCAAAGGAAACCACATAACTTTAATTGAACTAATGAATCCTTTTTTTTTTTTTTTGTTAGTGAATGCTGAATTTATACACATGAGAAATAATAAACAAGTTTTACAAATTAAGCAACTACAAAGTGAAACATAGCAAAAGAAGATATAAAGGAAGACTAATGGGCAATAGATCATGTGTAGATTTTTGGATCGTGCGCGAATTTCCCTTTCGATATTTTCTTCACATTTTTCTTGTTTTCAATTTACATAACAAGGGTTTTGAATGAGTCTTCTATGGGATCTTCGTGGTACTACAATACTCCCCACTTTTTAAAGATCCTTGTCCCCAAGGTTCAGGTCAATGAAGTTGGTCTATAATTCTTGAGTGTTTTCCCATATGGTATCTTGACTTGATGATATCTACTTCTTGGGTGCATCGACAGGGTGGTGATATCCAAATAGCTTATAAACCCATTTTTGTTACTTAGGGGTGGTGATACGCTGATCCAGTAAGTACTTTAGACTTTTTTGATTTGTATGGATGGAAAACATATGTCCTAGCAAGTAAGGTCTCCAGAGTCAGATTGCCATGACAATGGCCAACCTTTTTTTTTTTTTGCATAGGTCGATCATATTTGTTTTGAGACTCCAAGAGCTCGACTCATATATGCGATGGGTTGTCCTCGCTGGGATAACAAGGCTTCTATATTATTGCTTGATGCATCAATCTCTATTACAAATGACTTATTAAAATTGGGTAATACTAGTGTAGGTGTGGAGGTTAAGGCTTGCCTAAGCTGTTCAAAAGCCCTTTTTACTTTTTCGGTCCACCTAAATTGTCACTTTTTTAACAAGTTAGCGAGGGGTTAAGTTATTATGTCCTAATCTCGAACTAACTTTTTGTAGTAACTCGTTAAACCCAAAGAACCCACAAAATTCAGTGATATTGGATGGTGGTCTTGACTTACTATTGCTTATATTTTACTTGGGTCTACCTTAACCGCTTGAGTGTTGATGATGTATCCCAAATACTCAAGTTCTTGCTGCCTGAATGTACAATTTTTGAGCTTCACATAAACTTAGTACTTTCTTAAGATCTCGAATATCTATTTGACATGATCAAGATGTAAGGTCCATTTTGGATTATAGAATAGGATATCATCAAAGACTACAAGAATGAAACTGCGAAGGTGTGGCGGAAGATGGAGTTCATGATGGCTTAAAATGTTGATGGAGTGTTACACAAGTCAAAGGGCATCATTAAATACTCGTAATGTCCGTTGTGGGTGTGGAAGGCAGTCTTAGGAATGTCAATTGGGTGTACCGTGACTTGATGATATCCAGTAATTAAGTCTAGTTTGGTGAAGTAGACCACCCCATATAACCCGTCTAGTATATTGTCCACAGTTAGAATAGGGAACCAGTCCTTTATGATAACACAAGTAAGGGTCTTATAATCCATGTAAAAGTGTCAAGTATCGTCTTTCTTTCAAATCAATAATATCGGTGATGAGAATGGACTAGTACTGGGTCGAATTATTTAGTCTTGAAACATATCATTTACTTACTTCTCAATGTTATATTTTTGAAAATGTGCATACCGGTATGGTTTCATTTTGGTCGGCTTTATCATTTCTTTGAAGTTGATATAGTGGTTAATCTCTTGTGCGAGTGGCAGTTGATTGGTCTCCAAGAACACATTAGCATACTCGACCACAATTATCTACATGTCTAGGTCAATTCCAGTCACTCCCGACTCTGTTCCGTCCAACATACAGACAACACGTATTGAGTACCGTCGGCTTGCCTCCCTGGCCACCTCCTTGAGATAAGTGATTTGGATGGGCAGAGCATCAAGGTTGCATAACGTCCTACAGCATCCATCCCATTGGAATCCATTGTGAGCTACTTCTAATTGCAGCTAACGAGTCTTAGCATCTTTAACCATTATATACCCAACATTATATCAAAATAGGTTAGTGGTAAAACATATAGATTGTGAGTGGATGGGATACTTAAATCATGATTGGAACGTCTTTGAATCGGCCCCTATAATGAAGTGGTCTACTATTTGCGACCTTGTTTGAAAGGGCTCGGGTGGGCACGACCAATAATCACATCATATCAGCTATTCGCTCACTAACAAAATTGTGAACAGAGCCACTATATATGAGA